GGCCAGTTAGCTCACTTGGGAGAGTGTGGTGCTGACAACACCAAGTCAAGGGTTGAGATCCTCTTACCGGTCATCTTTTTTAAAAAAAAAAAAAAACATCAGCTTCCCACCTGTAAAATGGAGATCACATGTACATATCATTAAGTGAAGCTGTGGTAGTTATTGGTCAGTTATTAATAATTAACCAGCTGTGTCAGTCAGCTATTCCTGCATGAGGAATTTCTACAAATGTAGCCATTTAAGACAACAGACGTTTATTGTCATCCACTTTCTGCAGGTCAGGAGTCTGAGCATGGTGTGGCTCGGGCTTAGCCAGGGCTGGGGTCTCATCTGAAGGCTCAACTGGGGAAGGGGCCACTCTCAGCTCCTCCCCTGTGGCCACTGCATCAAAGCCAGCAAGAGGGAGAGTTGGCAAGACAGTGTCACAATCTGAAGTGGCTTAATCCCAGACACATAATCATGAATATTTCATTGTCACCACCCATTTATGGGTCAGAAGTAGCCTCAGGCCCCACCCATGCTCAAGGGGCGGGGACCACACCAGGGCATGGCCACTAGGAGCCAGGTCTCATTGGCCACCTCAGTGTCTGTCCCTGCACGGACTGTCCAGCCTCTTCTCACTGAGTGGAAGTGACACTCCCGAATGTGGATAACCCAGGATGACCTCCCATCTCAAGGTTCTTAACTCCACCTCAGCTGTAGAATCCCTTCTGCCATGGAGGTGACATATCCACAGGACCTGGGGACTGGGACATGGCTGTCTTTGGGGAGCATTACCTGAGGATGTTCAAGGGGAGGGTGGACACCGAGCTCCTGTCCCTGGCATCCTCTGTCTGCACCTTTGTAGGCCCGACCCTCCTGCTGTCCCCCTGCACGGCTGACCACATCTGCTTCTGTCTCTCCCAAGCACCAGCTCCACATGTTCCCTGCTGCCTTCCTCTCTCAGTCCCCCCCTCCTGAGGCCCAAGCCCCTGCTTTCTAGGAGTGCAGGCCACACTCAGCCCGTGCACGTGCAGCATGGGCCACACGCCCCACTGGGCAGCAGGGATGCAGCGTGCTCTCGCCCACAGCTTCACCCTGGAGAACGTCGATGTCCCATCCACTGCAAGACGGTTCCCAGGGCAGGGCAGGGCAGTGGTGCTCATGAGAAGGGTGTTGGGGGCCGGCCTGTGGCTCACTCGGGAGAGTTACTTACACCATCCGCATCAGACCACAAGCTGCACAGACGCAGGGCTTAGCAGTCTCTCCTGCTGCCGGATGCCGGGGCCACACACACGGTAAATGCTCAGTGACGTGCTGGATGAATTCCGGTTGAATGCGTGAATGTTCGAGACAGTGGTGCTGTCAGGTGGTCGATGCTGCAGATACCTTCCCACGAGCTCGTTCTTGGCTTTGATTTAAGGGCTTTTGCTGTACAGAACTACAATGGTCCCTCGGTATCCTAGGGATTGAAGATTCCAGAATCCACAAAAGCTCAAGTCCCTGATATAATCCCCCACGGTGTCTGCATGTGACCCGCACGTCCTCCCATACGCTTGAAGTCACCTCTAGATGACTTGTCCTACCTAATACAGTGTAAATGCTATCTCGATAGTGCTGTGCTGCATTGTTAAAAGAATAGCGTTTAAGGAAATAATTGTTTAAGGGAAAAAAGTCTGTACCATACAGTACAGATGCAGTTTTTATTTCCTGAGTATTTTCAGTGTTCAGGTGGTTGAACCCACAGATACGAAGGGCCTGCTGTATTTTATTCTCATGGTGACAAATATTACCAGTTGTTTTTTCCCTGGTCTTGCTTTTCGTACGTGGTTTAAGATGCCCCTTTCCCCAGACTCTCAAGGATCTCCTCCTGCGTTTCCTTCTAATTGTTCTAGAATCTCACTTGTCTTACATCTGCAGGCCCGGGCTGCCCTAGTGGGACTCCCTGCAGAGTGAGTGACCCCTCCTGGGGGTCCCCACATGCCCACCGCTCCCAGTGATTCCATCCCTGCCGCACCCCAGGCCCTGCCGGCTGAGAAGCATGGCAGCCCCAGGCCCGGCCCTCTGCACTCATGGCCGCAGAACCAGGGCACCCCTGTAGGGCTACCACGGTCCCTGACCTCCAGGGGCCTCAGAGCCTTTCCTTGGGTGGCCAAGTGCATGTTCCTCCCCCTCAGGCCAGCACACAGGAAGCAAGAGACAGAGGGACTCAAGCCAGGGCAGGGAGTCCCCGCCAAGCCATGCTGGGGCCTGCCTGGGTGGGTGGCAGGGTGGGGACCCCGAGCTCTGGTAAGACACTGCCCCCCACTCCGAGTCCCCTGTCTCCGACCCCCTGAGTTCCTGTCCTCACCTCTTTCTCCTTTTCTTTTTTCCTGCCGGCCGGTCCAGGGGTCAAACCCCGCTCTTGGTGCCGTCGCACCGCGCTCCAGCCACCACGCTCCAGCCACCGCGCTCCAGCCACCACGCTCCAGCCACCGCGCTCAGAACAGCCTTTCTTTCTCATACTTTAACCTGTACTGTTTTATCCCAGTTTCGACACGTTACACACTCATTGCAAAAGTTGGAAGTGACTCAGAAATTTCTCACGTGGGCTGTGGAAGTCCCTGAAACCCCAAAGAGAACTGCCAGGAACATTTCGGTGTACAGTGGCCAGCGCTTTTCTTCTGTGTGAGCGTTAGATAGGGTTTTAGGAATGTTATTCACATGATACAAACAAAAATAGGTAACACCTATGCAAACATGTAAGATACATGTAAATATGAAACAGTAAAATTAACCCTTGTGGTTCCACATTCGATTTTTAAAATACAATATTGGCAATACTTAAGTACCCTCCAGAGGTACTTAACATAGAATACTTAGTACTTAATACAGAGTACCTCCAGGTGTACTTAATAGAGCACTTGGTACTTAATACAGAGTTTCTCCATATGTACTCAATACAGAAATTAGCACAATACAGAGTCCCTCCAAAGGTGCTTAATACACAGCTCTTAATACTTAAGAATACCTCTGAGGTGCTTAATGCAGACTACTTGGTTCTTAGCACAGAGTACCTCTAAAGGTGCTTAAACACTGCACTTAGTACCTAACACAGAGTAGTACTTCCAGAGGGTACTCAGAATTTAAGTACAAATTTATTGCTTCGTGTTTTCATCTGAACTGAGATGTGAAGAAACTGTAATATACACCCCAGATTTCAAAGACTTGGCTCAGAAAAAAGAATGTAAACTACCTCACGGATCATTTTTACGTTGATCACATATGGAAATGATAATATTTTGGCTTCACTGGGTTAGATTAACCGGATTACTAACATTAATCTCTTCTGTTTCTTTGCCTTTTTTTTTTTTTTTTAAGATGACTGGTAAGGGGATCTTAACCCCTGACATGGTGTTGTCAGCACCACACTCACCCAGTGAACTAACCGGCCATCCCTATGTGGGATCCGAACCCGGGGCCTTGGTGTTATCAGCACCGCACTCTCCCGAGTGAGCCACGGGCCTGCCCCTCTTTTTCCTTTTTTAAGATGAGGCTCCTGAACATTCACACATGCGGCTGGTCCGCGCCCACAGGGCGGATGCCCAAGTCCTTGAGCCATGAGGAGAATGCAAACCAGACCCCAGTGAGACGCCATTTCACGCCCCCCAGGATGGCTTTAAGCAGAAGACAGACAGTCACAGGGGCTGGCGGGACGTGGACAAAGTGCAGCCCTCCCTCTCGGCTGGCGGGAATGTAAACGGTGCCATCGCTATGGAAAACGGCCCGACAGTTCTTCAAAAAATTAAACACAGAATCACCATGCACTCCAGCACGTCCACTTCTAGGTATATGCTCAGGAGACGTGACGGGAGCGACTCAAGCGATGTGTGCACGCGCATGTGCACAGCAGCGTCACCCCTGATGGCCAAGAGGTGGAAGCAGCCAGGGTCCACCCACGGCGGAATGGGTGCCCCCGGCCTGGCCCCGCTGCACCCTGGAGTGTCACCACTCAGCCATGGCCCCCTCTGGGGAGGCAACGAGGGTAGGAAACAGGCACTACATAGTGAACATAACTTCCCTTTTTAAAAATTTTAAATTATGGTAAAATACACATAACATAAAATTTACTATTTTAATCATTTTTAAATGTGCAGGCCTGGCTGGTTGGCTCAGTTGGTTACAGCACAATCTTATAACACCAAGGTCAAGGGTTTGGATCCCCTACCAGTCAGCCACAGAAACACAGTTCCACGGCATTAGCCACGTCCACGTGGCTGTGCAGCCGTCACCACCATCATCTCCAGAACTTTCTCATCTTCCCAAAGTGAAACTCTGTCCCCATCAGCATCACCCCCACCCCTTCTCCCAGTCCCAGGCGATCACGAATCCACTTCCCGCCTCTGTGGATCGGCCTTTTCTGGACATTTCATGTAAATTGAGTCACACACTATGTGGCCTTTTGTGTCTGGCGTCTGTCACTGAGTGTGACGTGTTCAAGGCCCACCCACGTGGCAGCGTGTGTCAGAGCCTCGTTCCCATTCACGGCTGAGTGACGTTCCGGTGTGTGGACGGACCACACGGTGTTCCCCATTCATCCGTGGATGGACACTTGGACTGTTTCCACCTTTTGGTTGTTGTGAATCATGCTGCCATGAACATGGGTGCGGCCTTCCCATTTTTTTTTAAATAGAAAAGGAAAGGAAAGAAGCAAGAAAGAAAAAAAAGAAAATTCATTCCAGCTCGTGTGAAAACAGGCAAGGGAAAGGCAGGGAGCGAGGCAGAAAGAAACGCAGCCCTCGCACGTGCAGTGGGTGGAAGTGGAGCCGGTGGGCGGTTTTGAGCTGTTCAGGTGGTGGAGAAGGGCGGGGCAGGTACCAGCATCGCCCAGGAGTGACACCTGTCACAGGTTCCTGGGAGAGGCGGGATCCATCAGCCCAGCCACCAAAACACAGTGAGCAGCCAGGATGGCAATTTGTCACTGCAGCCACAGAAAACCAGTACATCACCTTCACCCACTTTAGTGGGTGAGGTTGTCTTGGTTTCCCACGGTGGCTGCACCACTGGGACAGGTGCGCTGGAGACCCACCTGGTCCAGGAGGTGGGTAGATGTGCCAGGTAGATGGGCCGGTCTGGCGCTGGGGCTGAAGCTCAAAAATCGTGTGCGTGTGTGCGCGTGTGTGTGTGCGTGTGTGTGTGTGTGTGTCCTGCGCTGGAGACCCACCTGGTCCAGGAGGTGGGTAGATGTGCCAGGTAGATGGGCCAGTCTGGCGCTGGGGCCGAAGCTCAAAAATCGTGTGCGTGTGTGCGCGTGTGTGTGTGCGTGTGTGTGTGTGTGTGTCCCCGCTGGCCAGTACGGGGATCCGAACCTTGACCTGCTGTTCTAACACTGCGCTCTAACCAGCTCAAAAATCTGAAATCTTCCCCTTGCAGGGAGCAGTTTCTGTTATGGCCAGTGCTGGGCACCTTGAGTTTGTCTTTGGGGGAGGAGGTGACTGGCAGCATTTGCAGAAGCCCATCCTGAAACTACCTGCTCAGGTGTCATCCAAGACACAGGTGACCTTAAACAAAGCAGCAGGTTTCTTGCATTTCTCAAAAGGGAGTATAGGTCCATAAACTCAGAGAAATGCTGGCTTCTTCTCGAGGAATAAGAAAGGAGTGTCTGAACCAGCCACGGGGGGATCAGGATTTAAGAGACAAGAGGAGGTAGCAGCGTAGGTGGGGGCCCGGGGTTGTGGCCCCACCGAGAGTCTTTCAACAGAAAGCGCTCCACAAAATATACCCGAGGGAGGTCCCCTTGGTGGGGGGCCATGTGAGGTGGGCACAGGGGTGCAGACGCTTCCTCCAGAAATGGGTCTGGCCCAGGGAAGGAGCCAGGGCCACGAAGGGGGTTTCTGGCCAGAACAAGGCTGCCGGGGAGGAAGCCAGGTCTGTGCCCGAGGCAGGACATTGGGGGACCCCCGGGGGTACCAGGGAAGGAAGGAAGAAAGCATGCTGCAGGGCCTGGTGTGGCAGGAAGGCGAGGGGTCCCCCTTGCTGGAGGGGGCTCCTATGGTTTCTCCAGCAGCTCCGGCAGCCCCCGAGGCACAGGGGACAGCCCAGTGGGTGCAGGCAGGGCATCCTTAATGATGTCATTTAAGGGGGACTGGCCGCGTGGTCTGGGCTGCAGGGGAAGAAGAGGACAGGAAGAGAGAGCTGGCAGGAGGCTCGGATTTGGGGTTCCCAGGAGGGCCGGAGGACAAGTTCAGACACTCTCAGGGTCTTGTGTATTTCTGTAATGATAAAAATGATCAGAATTGGGGAGACGTTTGTCAACGGACACAAGATTTCATTTAGAAGGGGAGCCTGCTTTCAACAGCTGTACTGTACATTATGGCTGCAGTTAATAGTATATTGTATCCTCGAAAACTGAGAGGAGATCTGAAGTGTTCTCAACACCAAAAGACGGTAAGGATGTAGCACGCCTTAAACAGTGCCGTCAGCCATCCGCAGGCAGCGACACGTCCTGTCGCACACCGCAGATGCACCGTAAACACATACCATGTTGACTTGCCCCTTAAAAAATAAATTAGATTTTTTAGAAATGAACAGATAAGGGCCGGCCCGGTGGCGCACTGCAATAGCGCGCCGCTTGGGAAGCGCGGCGGCGCTCCCGCCGAGGGTTTGGATCCCACATGCAGACTGGTTCCCGCTCACTGGCTGAGGGAGGCGCGGGAGCAACGCCGAGGGTTGCAATCCCGTTGCCGGTCCCGGTCCGGTGCGGGGGCGACACTGAGGGTTGCGATACGTTGCCGGACAAGGAAAAAGATAAAAAAAAAAAAGAAAGAAAAGAAATGAACAGATAAAAATCAAACTCAAGAAGAAATGAAGACCTTTAAAAAATCTCTCTTGAGGGATGTCAGAGACTCTGGCGGTTCGTAGGAGAGAGAAAGTCGTGCAGTCTTGGGTGGGCTGCAGACAGGGCACCCCAGGTCCCAGTGGGAGGGACGGACGTAGTGAAGTTGGGGTTCAGGATCCTGAGAAAAGCCTAAGAGACCCTGGGCTTGGAAGGATAACAGCCCCCAAAGATGTCCCCATCTTGGTCCCGAGGATCTGTGGATATGTCACCTCCCGTGGCAAAGGGACTCACTCTGCAGATGGGATGGATTTAAGGACCTTGAGATGGGAGGTCATCCTGGGTTACCCGGGGCCCAGTGTCCTCACAGGGTCCTCATAAGAGGGGGCAGGAGGTGATGGGAGGTCATCCTGGGTTACCCGGGGCCCAGTGTCCTCACAGGGTCCTCATAAGAGGGGGCAGGAGGGTCAGAGGCAGAGACTGGAAGACGCTGCACTGCTGGCTTTGCAGACGGAGGAAGGGACCACACACCGAGGGCTGTGGGCGCCTCTAGAAGCTGGGAAAGGAGGACAGGGGTCCTGCCCTGGAGCCTCCAGGAGGGACCAGCCCCGCCCACAGCTTGCCTTTGGACTTTGGCCCTGCAGAACTACAGACAGTAAATGTGTGTTGTTTTAAGCTGGTAAGTTTGTGGTGTTTTGGCACAGCAGCCACAGGAGATTCACACACCCCATCCAGACTGCTCCAGCCCATATCTGAGGACATGGAATGACAATTTCCTGCCCACTGTGACCATCCCAGGAGCAGCTACAGAAAAAGAGATGGCTTTCCCTGGGACCTGTCTCCCTGACCCCCAGGAGACAGATGGCCTGTCCCAGCGACACCTCTGTAAACCCCGCAGAATCCTAGACATGTAGGCAAGCTTCCCGCGGGCCTGGGGCCCAGGGATGTGTGGAGACCAGGGACCCTGCCCCAGGTAATCACCCCCCATGTCCCCAAACCTCGGGCTTCTCCATGGCTGGACCATGCACCCTTCAGATGCCACCCCCATTCTTCAGGGCCAGCCTTGGCAGGGCCTGGCCCTCCAACATATCCCCTCCCCAAGGATCACCCTTGGGGGCACTCTGGGGTTGGGCCCGGGGGCTGCCAGGTGAGGGTCACTGCCCACGCCATGGGTCAGCCAATGTCCTTTTTGCCCCTCATTTGTGATTCCCCGACCAGGACCCACTGAGAGTGGAGCAGAGGGCCCGCCTGAGGTGGGGGGACATTGGGGTTGTGGCTGCTGCCCCGCAGAGTCCACTGGGGTGTCAGATCTTCGCCACCTCCCTTCCCTGCCCTTTCTGGTGGCGATAGTGGCCTAGCATTGAATACTGAGACCTGGGCGCCCAACCCTCCCGACTCCCTCCAGCAGGAGCAGGGATCCCTGGCCACATGTGCTGGCTCAGGTCCCCAGGCCTGGGGTCCCCTCCCAGCTCCCCCGACCCGCCCGTGGCTACGGCTGGGCCGGCCTCCCTTCTGGGGCGCCGCGCTCCCTTGCGCCCCGCAGAGGGGCCAGCTGCTGCCCACGGTCCAGGTGCATACCGTGGGCGCCGCATAAGAGCAGGGGCGCCTGTCGGGGAAGCAGCGGGCTCTGGATGCCAGTGTACATGCCTGGGGAAACTGAGGCTAGGGAGACTGCAGCCTGGCACGAAGGCACACAGCTGGGCAAAGGAGGAGGTGGGGCTCAGCCCGGCCCACTGCCCTGACCCCCCAACCAGGGATGCAGCCTCCGCTCAGGACCCGTGAAGCACGGTCCCTTTAAGGAGGGCACGGCTCTGCTCGCACGGCCCCAGCAACAACCATCCCATTGGCTGGAGCGCGGGCCCTGGCCACGCCCCACATGCTTAGTACTTAGAATCCTATTGGTCTACCTCTCGGGCCCCGCCTTCCACGCGCTAGGAGCCCGGGCGCCTTGCCAGGATCGATGACGCAACGCGTTGCCCCGGCAACCGCTCCGCCCCACCCCACTCACCCCCCAGGGCAGAGGGGCTGTGCGCTCGAGACAGTGCGCAGGCGCGCGGCCGCCGTGGGCACCCGGAGGCGGCGCCGCGGGGACCTCACTCCAGGTGGGGGTCCCGAAGTGGGGACAGGGCGGGAGGCCGGCCAGAGGTTCCACCGATGTCAGAGGCGCCGGATCACACTCCAAGCAGCCAGTCAGCTGGAGGATTTGGCGACACAGCAGGTCCACCCCCGGTCCTGCCCCGGCTCCGTCCGCAGGAGAAACCTACAGCCCGGGAGCCCGGGATGAGAGGCCACCCCCGCCCCCTGGACACATCTCCCTGTCCTCAGCCTGTGGCATTCCGGAGTCCTGGCCAGGACGCCCAGGTCAGCCTCCTGCCAGCCTGGCTGGACGTGCCTCACTTTCCCCATCTGCAAAATGGGAACTTCAGGATGCCACGGGTATTAGGGGCTGTCCGCGTCTCCTGTGGCTGCTGTGATTCTCTCACACTCTGGAGGTCACTAGTCCAACACGGTTCTCACTGGGCTAAAGTCAAGGTGTGGGCAGGGCTGGTCCCTCCTGGAGGTTCCAGGGCAGGACCTGTGTCCTCCTTTCCCAGCTTCTGGAGGCGCCCGCAGCCCTCGGCGCATGGTCCCTTCCTCTGTCTGCAAAGCCAGCAGCGCAACGTCTTTGTCTCTGCCTCTGACCCTCCTGCCCCCTCTTATGAGGACCCTGTGAGGACACTGGGCCCCCAGGTAACCCAGGATGACCTCCTACCCCCAGGCCCTTAAATCCATCCCATCTGCAGAGTCCCTTCTGCTATGGAAAGTACCATGGCCGGGCCCCTCCCCAGATCTGCACATGTACCCTGAAACTCCCCCTCAAAACTAGGGCCCTTTTACATAATATCCCATGTCCCCGCCAAGAAGCAGGTCGGCTGGGACTTTGAGACCAGTCTCCCCTAATGTCCCCGAGAGCCACCTGGGTGTCCACTGGGCCCCAAGGGAGAGTACTAACTCCTTCTGAGGAAGTGGAGTGACCAGCCAAGTGCCTTGTCTGTGGTCACTGGGGCAGGATGGTGGCCTACCACCATCTGGGCTAGCCCTGCCCAACCATATGGCCCTGCCCCCACACCTCCCTTGGGGACTGTGCAGTGACTGACCCTCAGGGAGGAGGGACGTGTACAGCACTAACCCCAGCCACAGCAGGGCAGGCCGGGCAGCCGCAAGCTCCTGGCCACACCCACTCCTGCCCCCAGCAGACAGCGGGCCCTGGCTCCGTCCCCGGGACTGCTGAGCCACTGGAATGGAGCGAGCCATGAGTCAGCCAGCAGGAAGGGCCACTTACAGCCACTTGCATCAGATGTTCCTGTCGTGTGGCCTCACAGCCAGAGGCCCCAGTCCAACGGGGGGCCCAAGATGACCCTGTCCCATGCCCCTCACTTATCTGGCAACCCTCCTAGGGCTGTGGTTCTTGTCCCTGGAGGGTCGGACAGGTTGGAAACATGTGGTGAGGGTGGGGGCCAGGCCCTGGATCCTGACTGCACCTGCCCCCAAACCCACAGCCACCCCAGTCCAAGTGCTGACCCTGAGCCTTGGGGTGCTGGGATCCAGACTTCTCCCACACCAGCTCAGTGTCTGAGGGCCAGCCCTGAGCCCCCTCTGAGCCTTGCGTGCCTGGCTCTGAGCAGAGCAGGAGGGAACCCAGATGTCCCCTGAAAGGCACAGGCTTATGAGGATACTGCAGAGGTCCCAGCACCAGCCCCACAGTGCCCAGCCCCATTACACGCACGTGTGCACACACAGGCAGGTGTGTGCACAGGCCTCATGCCCACACATGCACATGGTTTGCCCTACAGTGACCCAGGTTTGGTGCCTTTCTAAGTGTGCGTGCCTGCCTTCACGGGCACACATGTACACACCGCAATCTGCTCACACACATACCCCACAAACTTTTTTCTACTGGGGGGAAAGGCCTTTACCATCACCCCCAGTAGCGTTGCCACCTAAAATACAGAATGCCCAGCTAACTTTGAATTTCAGGTACGCAATGAATAATTGCTTATGCCTAGGAAATACTGAAGCATAGGGTTTATTTATGCTTAGGTATTCACTGAAAAGTTATTTATGGGAAATACAAATTTAATTGGACCTCTTATGTTTTTATTTGCTAAATCTGGTAGCCCTATCTGCTCGGTTGTGGAGGCCCTGAGCTGCCCTGCAGTCCCCTAGATACTGCCCAGGGAGTGACCTCTGGGTTACAGGACCCCATGGCTCCAGCCACCTGGCCAGGCCCAAAGAGGGGTGGTCAGAGTGGCTATAACCCAGCCCGCCCACCTCCCCCTGGCTCAAGGGAGGCAGGAGAAGCAGAGGCCCAGGGCTGCCTCATCAGGACCCACCTGGGCGCCTCCACTGAGGGTTGGGGGAGACCCTATGTAGTGGATTGAATTATTGTCCCCCCAAAACTCCCTGAAGCTTGAATTGTGTCCCCCAAGTTTTAAAGGAGAGAGATGAGAATCTGTCTGTCTCTCTGCTTCCACCGTCTTCCAATGTGAGACCCCTGGGTCACTGTCGCCACCACCAGATGGACTTTGGACTTCCCAGCCTCAGAAATTGTAAAGCAATAAATTTCATTTTCTTTATAAATCACCCAGTTCAGTGTACTTTATTATAAGCAACAAAAACGGACTAATACACCCTCCATATGACATAGGCTGAAAAATCACCCTGCAGGGCCGGCCCGGTGGCGCACTGCTACAGTGCGCCGCTTGGGAGCGCGGTGGCGCTCCTGCCGAGGGTTCGGATCCCACATACAGACCGGTTCCCGCTCACTGGCTGAGCGAGGTGTGGGAGCAACACCGAGGGTTGCGATCCCGTTGCCGGTCCCGGTCCGGTATGGGCGCGACACTGAGGGTTGCGATCCATTGCCGGACACGAAAAAAGACAAAAAGGAAAAAAAAATCACCCTGCAGCGACAAGGGGCTTCTCAGGGGCTGCAAGAGTGGAGACTGCTCAGAGGCTTGGAGCCCCCGGGGTCCACCCTGCAAGAACGAGCTCATCCTTGAGCATTCTGAACACCCCAGGCCACTCTGCCAGGGCTCTAGGCTGGGCCTGCTCGGGGGTCCCCTGATGGGAAGAGGGGCCCAGTGTCGGGCACCGTCCAGACGACCAGCTGAGATCTCTGGTGTGAAGACAGGCTGGAAGAACAGTGGACACACGTGAGGGCCATGGGGATGGCAAGCAGGGGACAGAGGCAGAGACATTGGTAGAGACACCTCAGCCAGAACATGAGCTGCGGGGCTTGGAGGACCCCGGAGCCCACCCACCTGCCCACCTGCCCTGAAGGTCACCCTCCCCGGGCCTGATCTGCTACCAGTGCGCCCCAAAACAGGACCTCATGGGGGTCAAGGCCCTGCTAGGGTCAACTCTCACCTGCCCCCAGGTAATGACCCCTGCTGGTGCCCAGGTGGGGAGAGGGCAGGGGGCGCCCAGGGGAGAAGCCAGGAGGTCGAGTCTGGATGTGGAGGACACGCTGGCCTCAAGGCCCAGGTCCCAGCCCTGCCTTAAAGGAGCCTCAGCCCCTCTGGCAGTCACCCCAGCCCTTCACAGCCTTAGTCAGGTGCACCTGGGCCTGAGGGGCTTGGCTTGGCCCTGCTGAGACACCCCAGGACAAGAAGCCACGACTGAGCCCAGACTCAGGCCTGGGAGGGCTCCTCAGGCCAGCGAGGGAGGCCGGGCAGGGCGAGGGGAGAGAAAGCAGCCACGGGCCACTGCTACCATCCCCCACCCCTGGTCAGGCCCCGGGTGACCTGGGAACAGTTAGTTCCAAGCCAGGCCAGCTCTAGGCAGCTGGGTGAACAGGGGCATCTGGGGACCCTCAGTGTGTGGGGCACGGCGGAGCAGGGAGGGCTTGGGGGCACTTTCAGGTGGGGGGTTGTTAGTGGTGAAGCTGGTGCTGGAGCGGGGCTGGGGCTGAGCTGCAGGGGGAAGGGGAGATGAGAGCCTGGGAGCCGGGAATGGCTCCGACCCATGCCGGGTGCTGGCACCCCCTCCTTTCCTGTTTGTTCTCCTTTGGGGGGCCAGTGCCTCCCAGAGCCTACTCCCTGCTCTGGTGGCTTCAGGCTGGTCCCCAGCCCCCCAGGGCGATCCTAGGCCCCCCAGGATCCTTTGGGGGGAATCCTGGCCCTGTGCCCTACCCATCCAGCCCACTGGTTCTGTGTCCACCTGTCCTTCGCCCTGGCTGGCCCAGCCCAGGCCACACTGTGTGAGATCAGAGGAAACAGGCCAGGGCTCAGGCAGGTGGAGTCTCCTGCCAGGCAGCTGAGGTCTCCCTCCCAGAGGCGAAGGGAGAGGTGGGAAGGGGGTGCCAGGCCAGGCTTCTGTGCTTCCCCAGCCCACTGCCCCTCTGCTGGGGAGGCCTCTGGGTGCCCCGTGCCTCTGAGAGTTTGACTTGCAAACAGGACCTCTGAGGAAGGATGGGTGTCTGGCTGGCAGCTGGCCCATAGCAGGCCAGTGCAGGGCTGAGAACTGGCAGCACGCGGGCCTGGGCACAGTGCAGGCACCAGTGGCCACCCCCACCCCAGCACAGGCCAAGTGTTGCAAACAGGACCTCTGAGGAAGGATGGGTGTCTGGCTGGCAGCTGGCCCATAGCAGGCCAGTGCAGGGCTGAGAACTGGCAACACGCGGGCCTGGGCACAGTGCAGGCACCAGTGGCCACCCCCACCCCAGCACAGGCCAAGTGCTCATCCAGGGGGATCTCCAACCCGTCCTGTTCCACGGGACAAGCACTGACCGCATGATCCTATCTGTACATTCCAGGAGACCTGCGTGTCCACGCACCCGTGCACAGACACACACGTGCATGCACGTGTGCTGCAGGATGTGCACAGAAATCCACATGTGTGTGCCCCGGTCCCCCCGTAGCACCCCCACAAGTGTGCTCCACTCACAGCCCCACCTCCTCACACTAGAGGCATGTTGCAGGACTTGGCTCGCCTGGTGGGTAGAAGCAGGGGAATCTTGTCTGGGTGACCCTGCCCCACCAAGAGACACTGGGCAATGTCTGGGGACACTGTGGCTGTCATGACTGGGGCGTGCTCCTGACATGGAGTGGGTTAGGGCCAGGGACGCTGCTCAGCACCTGCAGTGCCCAGGATGGCCCCAGCACAGGGGATGACCCAGCCCCAAAAGTCCACAGTGCTGAGGGGGAGAGACCCTGAGTGGAAAGATACCAGAGCCAGGAGCTGTCTTCCTGTCTCTGATCTTCCTCAGTTTCCCCACCTGCAGCATAAGGCTCCTGAAGGGACCCACCTGTAGCCCATGTGAAGGGGTGGCAGTCCTGTGAGCAGCGTCCAGCACAGGCCCCAGCTCCAGCTTTGGAACAGATCTGCCCCAGCCGGCCAGGCTACCGCACCAGGTTTTACTGCCCAGTACCCAAGCTTGGCTGTACTTACAGCCAAGGCTTCCTACTGGAGTAGGGCGGCCCTAACACAACGACTAGTGCCCTTGTAAGAAGAGGAGACACTAGGCCGGCCCGTGGCTCACTCGGTAGAGTGCGGTGCTGATAACACCAAGGCCACGGGTTTGGATCCTATATAGGGATGGCCGGTTAGCTCACTGGCTGAGCGTGGTGCTGACAACACCAGGCCAAGGGTTGAGATCCCCTTACCGGTCATCCTTTGAAAAAAAAAAAAAAAAAAAAAAAAAAGAAGAGGAGACACTGAAATACAGGGAGGACAACGGTGTGCAGACAAAGGCAGGGACCGGAGGGACACGGCCATGAGCCAAGAGACGCCTGGAGCCCCAGGAGCTGGAAGAGGCGGGAAGGACCCTCCCCTGGAGTCTCCAGAGGGAGCGCAGCCCTGCCACACCTGAATCTCAGCCTTCTGGCCTCCAGGACTGTGAGAGCATACACTTCTGTTGTTTCAAGCTGTCCCTTTTGTGGTCCTTTGTTACAGCAGCCCCGGCAAGCTCGTACAGTTACACAATCCCTGCAGGCACGTGCACACACACACGCACGGAGGCACGCTCCAACACGTCTTTCTTTTAAACAATATTGAAATATATCGTTCTGGCTCTGGACACGCGGTGGACGGGTCTGAGCTCTCATAGAGCTGACATTCTGGGGAGGTGCAGTGGCCCATACAGAAGCCCACGTGTGGTTCAGCGAAGCCTGACCCTTGCACGGGACACCTAGTGGTGACCACAAACACACAGAAGCCAGGGTGGGAGGGGACGGCCAGGTGAGGAGAATGTGGGGAGGACAAGGAGGGACTTGAGGCCTCTCCTGGACAGGCAGGGCTAGCAGCCCCACCCCAGGCACCTGGAGCCAACGTGTGTGTCTATACTCACACACGCGAGTGCACACACAGGGCAGGGGGTGTTGGGGCTTGTGGATGTCTGTCCCCCTACAACTTAGGGCTACACAAGGGCTGGGAAGCTCCCCGCAGGCTCCTCCAAATGCCCTGGGATTAGCTGAGGCCAGGCCTCCTTGCCCTTGTGCCCTGAGCAGTGGACCTGGAGGCAAGTAGACAGAGTCTGCCCAGCGGGGAAGGGGACCATCCAGCCCAGGTCAGGGGGCTCCAGCCTCTCTGAGCTCAGGGCCCAGTTGGGGGACAGCGGGGATAGGCTGTGGGAAGCTTCTGGAAGGACAAGCTGGGGCCTAGAGAAGAGGAACGGCCCACCCGCGTGGTGACCCCCGCGTGTGCCCAAGGCGCGGGGCCTGGTGAGGACTCGGAACCGGGCGCTGCAGGGTTAGGGAGCAGGACCAGCTCAGGAAGGGCTCGTTGTGCTTCAGCTCCTGTTCTGGCCACCCCCACCCCTTGGGCTCTTTCCCAGTCAGTCTGGAGTCCAAGTTCCTCCTGAAGCTCTCTTCCAGGACTGAGGAAGGGTCCTTCACAGCTCTCAGTCCCCAGTCCTCCTCTGGTCCCTGCCAGCAACGGGGCAAACGCTTGCGGATCTCCCTGGGGGAGGTGGCTGCTGCCTGGGCAGGGGTGGACCAGCTAGGGCAGGAAGAGGATGACGGTGGCCGGTCCCCCAGCACTAGGAGGGAGCGGCTGGGCCCCGAAGCGTGTTGGGGTTCGTGAGGGAAACAGCTGGGGCCAGCATCGGGGGAGGTGCAAGAGGGAGTCATGGCAGGTTCTAGAGCGGGGGCATCGCCCAAAGGAGTCAGTGTAGTCCAGGCCCTGGCCGGCAGGCCGGGGGAGTTTCCTTGCGTAAAGCCAGATGACAGGACCCGGCTCAGTGCCAGGGTCTCACAGGTCCCCGAGCCTCGCACAGCCCAGAGCAGGACAACGCCCGCGCCCTCCGGCCGGCACGCCCCCTGGGGTCCATCCCCAAAGGCCCCGCGCGCCACACTGCGCAGGCGCGCGCAAGCAGGCGCAGACACGCCCCTTGTCTGGACTGCGCAGCCGCACTGGGCTTCCCAGGCCCTTCCACGCTCCGCCCCCGCCGCGCACGGAGGGCGTGT